ATGAAACGCGGCATATAAAATAAAAACCAACTTTCGACACTGCGAGACGTCGCAGATGCCCGGAGAATAGTTTTTCGACAAAAATACCTTCCTCGATAAAGTCATTTTCTTGGAAGACCTAACAGTCCGTCCGCGACTATAAAATACGCAAAACTTCTTAACATACATATCCTTCACGAAGGCCCAAACAACGTAAACATCTATCGCCTAAAAAGTTTGTTGCTGATCACAACAAACTCGCAACAGTCCTAAACAAACTTAAGTTATCTCGCAGAGATAGCTCTCGAACACCCGACACAAGGGTAATAGCGCTATAAAAGAAATCCAAACTTTTGGTAGGCACTTCTGGGCAACTTAGAAATTCTTCCCGGTGAGATGCTCGGTTCCAACAGGCAAAACGAAAGCCGACTAGTTATCGCAAAGCCTCAATCCGAAAGTAAACCTAGGTCTTGCCCTAAACCCAGCACACTGGTCTCTAACGTCTCAAAGCATGAATCGAGATCCTAAAGGCATGTCTCTTCGTCTATATCTAAACGCTCACTCGATTTACTAAACATCCTAAAACGAGCAAACGAACAAGGCGATCCACAAAGGAAAATGAATGCGAGACGACAACTCGCGGACCTCCCTCAATATCAACTCATATTCTTCTCGCTACATTCATACGAATAAAAACACGCTCATAAAAAACGCAAACTGATGCCATCAACATCAATATGCTCGATAATTTCTACACGACACATAACTAGACTTTAAAGGTCTCACTGCAAAACAGGTCATACAAATCTTAACTCCAAACGAACTACGAAAGGCTTGACCCCTTCAATAGGGTACGTAGGCAGCCTTCACAAGACGCAGCCCTAATCTTAAAACGCTTTTCGCTTCTTGGAGAATGGAAAGATCACTCTCAACGAACCTTTCCAACCATTAATTCCGCCTAACTTAACTAAAACTGGCTAACCATTCGGAAGAACCTTACGCTAGAAGCTCAAGATTCTAGCAAGCTGGGGGGCTAACTGTTGGTGTCAAAACCGGTCACGACGGAATTAATGGCGAAAGTCTCCGCCAAAGTGAAAATAAAAATACGTTTTATAAAACTCGAGAAGTCGTTTTATTAAACTCAAAAAGCAGTTTTATAAAACTCAAGAAATCGTTTTATAAAACTCGAGAAATCATTTTATAAAACTCGAGAACTCGTTTTATAAAACTCGAGAATTTTTTTTATAAAACTCGAGAATTCGTTTTATAAAACTTGAGAAATCGTTTTATAAAGTTAAAAGAAGTTTCCAAACGACGGAAATCCTCGGAAAACTTGGAAATCGTTATCTCGGAAGAACGAAACAAACGCCGATTACACGATCGCCCGAGTTAATCACTAAACCGCGAAAATCGGAACCGCTATAAAACACGAGCTAGTCCCGTCACGACTAGCTCGCCGAATGGTGAGCTAGTCCCATCCTGACTAACTCGCCGTTCGGCGAGCCGACCATCCCGAGCCTCAATCTCCCACGTCCCAATTCAAAGCTTACGTCCTTCGACACAATCATGTCCCGAGCCACGGTTAAAATGTCTCCCGTTTCATCTCAATCCATCTTACCGTTCGAGTTTTACGATAAAAACCGTAAAACTTTGTTTTCTCGAAAAGAACTTGAGGAAATCATATAAAACGGCAACGGTCAAACAAAACACCTAACATTTCCTAAACTATACAATTTCTTCGAGATTTTTCATAAAAATCGTAAAAACGCGTTTTAATAAAAACGTCGAGTGAATCGTAGAAACGGCAACGATTAACCGAAAAACGAACATAGCTAAACTTTATGATTAACACGGGGAATTTACTAAAAATGGCATCGGATCAGGAAACGATCTTGTATAAAGTTGCAAAACGGATTTATCGAAAAACAGCTCGGAAGGTCCTAAAACGCGATAAAAAGCCCATCTCGCGATCTTAACGAAATCTAGCCCGAAGATACGATAACGTTTTGACGATTTACCCGCAGAAGGAAGATAAATGTCAAGTTTGAAGATAAATAGAAGATTTCCGCGGAAAAAAGGAAAGATAAACATAAAAGTAAGATTGTCGATAAACTCGAATTTGGGTGAAATGGAAGGACCAAACCGCCAAGGAAGGGAGTATATAAGCAAGAGGCATAGGGAAGAAGCAAGGGAGGAATTTCAGAGCTCTCATCTGAGACTTTTACAACTTTTCTAGACTTAGAATTTTCCGTACTTAGAAACCTTGGCTTTATTCTCGACAAGTTCGGTTTCTATGATTGGCGCTCAATTACTAGAGGAACTTGCCAAGGAAGTTCGATCTCTTGTCAAGCTCTATCAACTGAACTACGCTCGACTTGATCCTCGAAAGGGGTACGTAGGCAGCCTTTCATAATGTTTAGTCCGAAATCAATCAAACCTTTTTTCTTATCTTTTTCTGTCTTTCGTTATCGAGCTGCGACTCGACTAGATTTAGGGTTTTATGTTTGTAACTCGCTGATGTCCCCTGCAGCCAAAGCCTTTGTAATTCCTTGTAATGATCGCAACACTCTTACGCGAATCAGAAATAAGATCGACTTTCTTTACAAATTTGTTTTATTGTGTTTTTCATATTTTTCCGCATTTATTTGGTTACTTGTCGTTGGCTTTCGCAGAGATCCGGTTCCTCTGGAAAATTAGGGTTTTCCTAAGTGTCTTTATTTTACGGAAATCAACTGGGGTGAATTTCGGTTCACACAGTGGATTTTGAGTTTTTAGAATCTGATATTCAGTGAGTGTCACTATATCCTTCTAGAACTGCTGATTCTTTACAATAGTGGAGTCAATAATCTTTGGTATAATGCAAGTAAATGAGTAATCTCCTTATAGCTTTCGGTTGTGTACGACCTGAATTACTTGTATATCGATTAAGTACGTTTACTCTATGCGCTAGATCCGGTCTGGTACAGTTGGTCAAGTACATGAGACTTCTGATCACACATGCTTACTCGTTTTGTGAAACCGCTTCACATGGATTCTTTGTCAAGCGCATTTGGGGATCTAACAGAGTTTTTGCCGTACTATTAGAGTAATTTTTAATTCTCGCTAATATTGTTTGAGCATAATGAGAATGGGTTAATGTAATTTCGTTTGAACTTCTTGTAACTTTAACACTGAGAATTACATATGCTAATCCCAAGTCTTTCATCTCAAATTTCCCTTTGAGCATGTTCGTTGTTTGATTGTTAATGTCTTTTTGCTTCCAATAATGAGCATATCATCTACATATTGACATAGCAAAGAATACACATTTTTGGTAGTTTGTAGTATATGCATTTGTAACATTCATTAACTTTGTAACCATTTGACATCATTTTATTGTCAAAATTTCCATGCCATTGTTTAGGAACTTGTTTAAGCCTATAAAGTGACTTACAAGTCGGCAAACTATGCCTTCCTGTCCAGGAATGACAAAATTCTCAGGTTGTTTTATGTAAATTTCCTCTTCTAAATCACCATTTAGAAAGGCGGTTTTTACATCCATTTGATGGATTTCTAGGTTTTTAAGGCTGCGATTGCTATCATCATTCATTTGCTATTATTCTCATTACTGGAGAATATATATCAAAATAGTCAAGGTCTTCATTTTGTCGGAAGCCTGGAACTACAAGCCTAGATTTGTATTTTCCACCAGGTTTTCATGTCATTATCCATTTATTCCCTAATGCTTTGCAGCCATGTGGTAAATTCGTTATGTACCATGTATAATTTTGCATGATAGAATCAAATTCACTTCTGACAGCTTCGTTCCAAAACGAAGCTTGTGGTGAAGACATGGCTTCTGCCAAAGTTTTTGGAGCATTTTCCACTAAAATGCCATTAGAAAATCTTCACCATTTTTTTCTCTTTCTAGGTTCATTATTTTCATCTTCTGAAATATCATTTATAGAAATCTCGACGTTTTTCTCAGTTTATGAGTTGTAGTCGTTGTCTCTTTTTTTTTCGAATTCGTTTTGAACCTTGTTTTTCCTTGCATGGAAAACTATTTTCTAAGATAGACGCATTTCTTGATTCAATTACCGTATTTTCATGTATATTTGATATTTCAGATTTATGTATCCGAAATCGATATGAAGTACTATTATTTGCATATCCGATGAAGATGTAATCAACTGGTTTAGGTCCAATAGTGATCTAATTTCGTGGCAATACCGCAACTTTTGCCAAGCAACCCTCCACACTTTGAGGTATTTATACGAAGGTAAATTACCTTTCCATAATTCATATGGAGTTTTGCCAGTTACTTTGTCTGGAATTTTTTGTTCAAGATATAATTAGTGGTAAGCAGCGCGTCCCCCACATGTTTTGGAGTAACCCAATTTCCTACAACATTGTATTCATCATCTCTTTTATAGTTCGATTTTTGCGTTCAGCAACTTCTTTAGATTCTGGTACATAAGGAGCTGTAGTTTGATGGATTATTTCATGTTCTTTACAAAATTTATTGAATGGCACATCATACTCGTTCTCTATCGCTTTTAACTATCTTAATAGTTGTTTTAAGCTAACTTTTAATAGTTTTTTAATTTTTATGTAGGCTTGTCACTCAACCAGTCCAGTATACATTCGTGGAAGCTTCATTGCAAAGGTTATATTTGTTTCTGTTTTTGTTCTCCTTGCTCATTTTCTGTGGATCATTTTGTGTGTGTCATAGATCATTTTGTGGTAGTTCGTTCAGGTTTTGGTCACTTGAGATGAGATGATTATTTAACTGAACATTAACGAGTTTTTTTTAGTGAAGAAGCTCCACTTGAGATGAGAAGATGCTTTTGTTTAGCGAAGTTCTGTTTATTTCTGAGGGACCTTTCTTTAGTGAATATAATATGATGCTTTTGACGATATGTAAATGTTCTTAACATTTGTGTTTATTACCTTTAGTTGCTTTTTGAGTTCATTAGCCATTGGTTAATGAACGTTTGTTTCAGTCTTGGTTAATGGTTGTCTTTAATCTCTCTTTTGTTCAGATGGATGAGAATGCTTTGAACCTAAATGATGATTTGAATATTGATGAGATGATGGATCAGAATGAAGATGATCATGGTCCTGATTCTGTACAAGATGATTCTACAAGTGTGGCTGGGAGTAGAGGTAAAAAACGAAGGCATTCAAAGTGTTGGAAGAATTTTGATATCGAAGATAAATTTTATGATGGTACTACTAAAGTTGTCTGCAAGCATTGCGACCATCACTGTGGGAATCGAAATCCACACTGTCGAGTTTCCGTCAAATATGAAAACTTAGGGAAAACCCTAATTTTCTCGAGGTCCTGGATCTCTGCGGAAATCTCAGCCGGGTTTTTGAGTAGAGTTTTGAAGCTGAACATGTCTGATTGTGGAGCTTATTTTGGAACAAGCCCTCATACTCAACCCGGCTAAGCCCTATCACAAAGTCAAGCTAGTGACTTAAACCAAGCGCTTGGTGGGAGGCAACCCATTGGTAAGTGTAAATATCATTAGGATTTGCTTTTTTCTTATTTTTGGTTTTCTTTTTTTGAGTCTCATGTCAAAAATCAGAAAAAATCCCGAGATACTTGACGAGAGCAGCCACCAGGTTGTTTCTGCTTCGTAGCAGTTTCTCTGCTCAGATAAGTATCTCAACTAAAAATATTCATATTTATATTCTTGTGTAAACCTTATCTCTGATTTATTTTCACACCAAGACGTTGTGAAGTAAGTATGGGGGAGGGTTTTCGTCGTTTACTAATCTAGTTTGCTTTTGTCTTATGTTTAGAGTCAGTTGTTTTTGAGTCATTTTGATGGTTTTATCGAGTCAGATGTTTAGATTGAGTCAGTCATAATTTTGTGGGAATTAGGACCTTATTTTGTGATGTTTATTTACCACAGCTTTAGTTATCTTATTTAGTGATCTTACCAGTGGCAGCAGACACACATGTGGACCCAGAACACTCTGACATTACATCATCTTGTTCTCTAGAAGCTTTCAGCATGTAGAGATTACTCTGGAAAGACTTACACTACAAGAAAACACGCCTTTAACGAGGAAGAATTACGAGGAAAATATTTCCTCGTAATGTTACGAGTACTTAACTACTAAGTTACAAGGAAACTTTAATTTGTTGTAAAGAACTAGTAACTTTACAATGAAAGCCATTCGTCGTAAATGACAAGTTAATTTACGACGAGTGTACTAGGAAAAGGAAGATTCGTCGTAAAGAAGAAGTAAACTACAAGCGCATTACAAGGCAAGTTTAACCGTTTATAGAAAACAAAAACGTGTTCTTAAGTTACTACTTTCGTTGTAACATGGTTGTAAAACATGTACAAAGGACTTGTAAAATCCTAGTAAATTGTTTCCTTGTAAATTTGTTGTTAAATCTTTACCAACCGAGCTCGAAAATATCATATATATATATATATATATGTCATTCATAATCAATCCTAACAACACCACAAACAAAAACAAAAAAAAAAAGAAAATGAAAGAAAAAGAATCTGATGACTTATGTATCGATTTTCCAAGAAATTAAAATGTGTGGACTGTCAGCAGAACAGTTATAATCAACTCATCATAGCTTTTCCTCGAGAAGTCAATGAATAGATAAGAAGAGTTGATAAGACCGTTCCGATGACCGTGAACTCCCTTTAGTTTTGTGGAAGTAATCCAAAAAAAAAAATTTCCAATTTTTTTTTCATTTTCGTTGTAAATTTGTTGTAAAGTTACAGGTGCTTTGCGACAAAAATTGGTAGGTGAACACGACTTTAATATGTAACTTAAATCGTTTTAAATACGTTGTAACCTATATGTTAGAGAAATGTAATATCATAGTAAAGATATCTCTTGTAAATACGTTGTAAACTTTCACCTACCAATATTCGTGGATTTCCTATATATATGAGCATTTCTCATTTCTTACCACCACAAAAAAAAACAACTCAGAAAAATGTCTGATGGAAGAAATATTTTTGAATTGCAGAGTTGGATGTATACGCATAAAGATTCTGACGGTAGAGTGACGAATGCATTTCTTAGCGGGCTAGAGACGTTCATGAACCAGGCAGACTGTACACCGCTCACGCAAGAAAGTGGTAAGATGTTCTGTCCTTGTCACAAATGCAAGAATTCAAAATTTTCCCGTACTGAAACTGTGTGGAAACATTTAGTACACAGAGGTTTTACACCACAATATTATAATTGGTTTCAACATGGAGAGGGTTATGGAGTAAATGAAGCTAGTAGTAGTAACAGTAATTTTCAGAACATCAGTAAAAATCAGGTTGCTGAACAAATGGTAGATCATGATAGGGTTCAAGACATGATTACTGATGCATTTTTAGAAACTACTACAACAATAGCAGATGAAACTGAAAATGTTGAAGAAGCTAATTTGGATGCAAAAGGTTTTATGAAATGTTAGATGATGTAAATCAACCAATCTACACTGGTTTTAGAGAAGGTCACTCTAAATTGTCTCTAGCAGCTAGGATGATATTAAAATGGATCATAATTTACCTGAGAACTGCATGAATGCATGGGCCGAGTTGTTTAAAGAGTTTTTTCCAGAAGATAATGTGTCAGCTGAATCTTATTACGAGATTCAGAAGTTGGTTTATAGTCTTGGGTTGCCATCGGAGATGATAGATGTTTGCATCGACAACTGCATGATCTACAGGAGAGATGATAAGAAGCTAGAAGAGTGTCGATTCTGCAAGAAGCCACGATTCAAACCGCAAGGACGTGGAAGGAATAGGGTACCGTACCAAAGGATGTGGTACTTACCAATTACAGATAGGCTAAAAAGATTATATCAATCTGAGAGGACTGCCGCAGCGATGAGGTGGCATGCTGAACATGTCCAGCGGGATGGCGAGATTGCTCATCCATCAGATGCAAGAGCTTGTAAACATTTCAACAAGGTACACCCAGATTTTGTAATAAATATTATAAATATCTATCTTGGATTATGCACAGACTGATTTAGTCCATTTGAAATGTCTGAGAGACAATACTCTTTGTGGCCAGTCATTCTTACGCCGTACACCCTGCCTCCGGAGATGTGCATGGAACACGAATTTATCTTCTAGACCATATTAATCCCTGGTCCGAAGCATCCAAAGCGGTCGCTAGATGTTTTTCTTCAACCATTGATACAAGAGCCAAAGGACTTCTGGTCAGAAGGGGTGAGGATCTATGATTGTTCCATTAAAAATAATTTTACGATGCGAGCATGTCTGCTTTGTACGATAAGTGATTTTCCTGCTGATGGTATGCTTTCTGGACGGACTACACATGGAAGGTTATCTTGTCCACATTGCCTTGGATCAACATATGCTTTTCAATTGAAGAATGGTAGGAAGAGTTGTTTGTTCGATTTTCATCATAGATTTCTTCCCCTTACCCATCCATACCGAAGAAATAAGACATTGTTTAGGTACAAAAAAAGTTGTAAGGGAATTCCTTCTCCATATCTCACTTGAAAACAGATCCTAGCGCAAATTGATTACTACGGAGCTCTAGAAACTGTTCCGCGTGGAGGAAACTGGCATGTTCCTGGAAATATGCCTGATGGATATTGGGTCAGTTACAATTGGCATAAGAAGAGTATATTTTGGCAGCTATCTTATTGGAAGGATCTTCTTTTACGCCACAACCTCGATGTTGTGCATATTGAGAAGAACTTCTTTGACAACATCATGAATACAATACTGAACGTCCCAGGAAAAACAAAAGATAGGCAAAAGTCAAGGATGGACTTACCTGATATTTGCTCAAGAAGTGAGTTACATATCAAAAACAATGGAAACATTCCAGTTCCTATCTTCCGATTGTCATCAAAAGCGAAGATGACTTTGTTTAACTGGATTCAGTCAGAAGTTAAGTTCCCTGATGGATATGTTCCTAATCTCTCAAGATGTGTTGAGCAAGGTCAAAAGTTCTCAGGAATGAAGAGTCATGACTGTCATGTGTTTATGCAATGACTACTTCCATTCGCTTTTGCTGAGTTGCTTCCAGCAAAGGTACATGAAGCACTTGCAGGTAAATATTGTTGATTAGTTAATATCATATATACATATGTTTTGAAATATTATTCACTGGATTAATTTTTCAATATGCAGCCATTGGAGCATTCTCAGAGACCTAAGAACACGTACATTCAAGGAAGAAGTTATCGAACAACTTCATGAGAACATTTTGATCTTATTGTGCAACTTAGAGAAAATTTTGCCTCCAGCATTTTTTGACGTCATGGAACATCTTGTTGTACACCTCGCATACGAGGCATTGCTTCGTGGTCCTGTTCACCATAGATGGATGTATCCGTATGAGCGCGCCATGTAACATTTGAAGGGGAAAGCAAAAAATCTTGCAAAGGTGGAAGGTTCAATAATTTCTGAGAGTTTGACAGCGGAAACATTTCACTTCACATCATACTACTTTGCACCAACAGTACGTACAAGAAAAAGAGTTCCTAGAAGATATGATGATGGTGGAGTCGTCCCCATATATCCAAGAAAAAGAGTTACCAATGTTCCTGATATTTTCTGCCAAATTGGAAGGTTTGGTGGTAGATTGCGAAAAATATGGTGGTTTAGTTACGAGGATAAGCATAGTGCTCACACTTATATTCTGCTCAACTGCGAGCATTCAGTGACACGTTCATTTGAAAGCTAAATAGTTATGTGGATTTAAATTATATCAAGTGCGATGTTATAGTGATGGAATACATTCATTTAATTTGCAGTTCCTTTGTAACGCAAGTTGAAGCAGTAATACCTGGAGTATCTGCAACTGAAGTGGACCGACGCAAAGATCAACACTATGTCATGTGGTTAAAATATCATGTAATATATATAGCTCAAATATTACGTAAGTAATGAACACTATAATATAATATAAATTGTTAACAGGCTAATTTTTGTAGGTTGAAGATGATGATCCATATTACCCCCCATGGATTCACGATTTGGTCCGAGGTCCACTAGCAAAAATCACCACATCACATAAGTATTTTACACGCACTTTTACGTTTCATACATACAAGTATGGGAGTCATCGGGCAACAAGTAACTACGGAATATGTGTGAAAGGTGAAACAAACTTTTATGGGATTTTGTAGGAGATTATTGAAG